ACTGTTTTATGTCTGCCGAAAAATTTAACTTGGAAACAGGTCCGCTATTCATATAAGATAACTTCATAACCGGTACTGCCATAACTTAACATAAGTTTACTTTGATTTTGACCACTCAGATCGAACCAGACCTGATCTCAAGGTAACTTTTGGCTGGTCTACTCAACACTAAATTTACTTGTTTCTTAGTATAAACATAGAAAGTAAGGTCAATATAATATTTCCATGATATAAACAATATAGATTAAATACATGTTTTTAAAAAAATATACGCATAAAACTTTTAATCGTACAATAAAAATTTATCCATGATCTGCCTTTCTACCAATTGAAAACGACATTGGTTACAATGCTAACGGGCATTGAATATATATTCTAATAAATATCAAATTTTTAAAGTCGTATATACATTTATTTTATATAAAATGTTGAAAGTTCTAATCGGTTTTAAAATGTGGCATTAATCTTATAAACTTGGTTATCAGATAACATCGATAAACAATCCCTATTACGAATAGGACTTAAGATCACATAAACAAATAATGATAATTGAAAGCAATATTGTTGTACAGTTACTGTTATTTATCATGTTTATGGTCGGCTTTCTAATATTTCTTTTTCTGCACCAATAAACAGCGCAAGCATGTTCTTTTTTTTTATTAAAATAATTGAATCAACACCAAAAATCGGCATTTTTCACATCTCAGACTGGCTCAAATATAACAAAATTAATTGACCGTATCAACCAAAACTGACCATATATGCACTTTGTTATGTTTATCTATAAACATGTAGCCGCATAAAAATTCAGTTATATTTTTATGTCAACGCCTTGTATAATACAAATGACAGCACTACTGGAACACAAAGACTGCATAATTTTGTCCCCACCAATTTAGAGTGCCAGCATGTCCTCTTTTTGTTAAAAATATTGTCTCGCAACAAAATTTCAGTAGTTTTGATACCTCAGGCTTACTAGTACAACAAAATTTGTCGACCGCATCGCCCAAAACTGACTATATCTGCACTTTTTTAAGTTTATTTATATAGCCGCATTAAAAATAAGAAATATTTTAATGTCAGGATAGATTGTATAATGCAAATAACAGCAATATTGGAACACAATGACTACAAAATTTTGTCTGCATTAATTAAGATTGCCAGCATGTCTTCTTTTTATTCAAAATATTGTCTTACAACAAAATTTCAGTAGTTTTTATACCTCGGGCTGACTATTGTCACAAAATTATTTGACCGTATCCACCAAAACTGACCATATTTGCACTTTCTTATGTTTATTTATAAAGCCGCATACAAAAATATCAGAAATATTTTTATGTCAGGATTGATTGTATAATACAAATGACAGCAATATTGGAACACAATGATTACAAAATGTTGTCGATATTAGTTTAGATTGCCAGCGTGTCCTTTTTTTATTCAAAATATTGTCTCACAACAAAATTTCAGTAGTTACCCTAGATACCCTAGGCTGACTAGTATCACAACATTATTTGACCGTATCAACCGAAACTGACCACATTTGAACTTTATTATGTTAATCTATAGAGCCGCATAAAAAAATCAGAGATATTTTTATGTCATGATAGATTGTATAATACAAATGACAGCAATATTGAAACGCAATGAGTACAAAATGTTGTCCGCATCAATATAGATTGCCAGTATATCGTCTTTTTATTCAAAATATTGTCTCGCAACAAAATTTCAGTAGTTTTGATAGCTCAGACTGACTCGTATCACAAAATATTATTATGAATCAACCAAAACTGACCATATTTGCACTTTCTTATGTTTATTATGGTCAGTGTTGGTTGATGCGGTCAAATAATTTTGTAAAACGAGACAGCCTGAGGCGCAAATTCTTAATTTTAATCCTGGTATCTGTGATGAGTTTATTGTATTATACAATACTTCTTGACATAAAAATATTACTGATTTATTATTTTAATAATAAAGTGCAAATATGGTTAGTTTTGGTTGATGCGGTCAAATAATTGTTGTTACACGAGTTAGCCTGAGGTATCAAAACTACTGAAATTTTGTTGCAAGTCAATATTTTGAATAAAAAGAGGACATGGTGGCTCTCTAAATTGATATGGACAAAATATTGTAATCATTATGTTCCAATATTGTTGTCATTTGTATCATACAATCCATCCTGACATAAAAAATATTACTGATTTATTATGCGGCCATATAAATTTACATAATCAAGTGCAAATATGGTCAGTTTTGGTTGATGCGGCAAATAATTTTGTTAAACAATTCAATCTGAGCTATCAAACTACTGACATTTTGTTAAGAATCAATATTTTGAATAAAAAAGAAGACATTCTGGCACTTTAAATTGATACAGACACAATTTTGTAGTCATTGTGTTCCAATATTGCTGTCATTTGTATTATACAATCCAGCCTGATGTAAAAATGTTACTGATTAACTATGTGGCTATATAGATTTACATAATTAAGTTCAAATATTGTCAGTTTTTGTTGATGCGGTCAAATAATTTTGCTATATTTGAGCCAGTCTGAGACGTGAAAACTGCTGATTTTTATGATGATTCAATTATTTGAATAACATAAGGACATGCTTGCACTATTAATTGGTGCAGAAAAGGAAATATTAGTAAGCCGATATTGCAGCATGATAAATATCAGTAACTGTACACCAATATTGCTTTCATTTATCATTGTTATTGTATACAATCTAAGTACTATTCGTTATTTTTTATCGATTTTATTTGAGAACCAAGTGTATAAGATTAATGCTACGACAAAGAGAAATGTGTATAACACGCACTGTTGTATGCGTACGTTATTTAAAAATTCATATACTTAATAAGTATTGTTTATATAAAACAAAGACATTTTAAAATATTTACAAAAACAATTGATTTAGAGCGGTCCTGGTTACAAGTTAATTTAGTGCTGAGCAGACCAGCCAAAAGTTAACTTGAGATCATGTCTGGTTTGATCTGAGTTCTCAAAATCAAAGTTAACTTATGGTTGGACTGGTTTCGAAGTTAACTTATAAAAGTAGCGGACCTGTGTCCAAGTTAACTTTTTCGCCAGTCATAAAACCAGTCCTAGGACCAATAAAATTGAGAATGGAAATGAGGAATGTGTCAAAGAGACAACAGCCCGACCATAGAACAGACAACAGCCGAAGGCCACCAATTGGTCTTCAATGCAACGAGAAACTCCCGCATCCGGAGGCGTCATTCAGCTGGCCCCTTAACAAATATGTATACTAGTTCAGTGATAATGAACGCCATACTAAACTCCAAATTATACACAAGCAACTAAAATTAAAAGTGATACAAGACTAATAAAGACCAGAGGCTCCTGACTTGGGTCAGGCGCAAAAATGCGGCGGGGTTAAACATGTTTTTTTGAGATCTCAACCCTCCCCCTATACTTCTAGCCAATGTAGAAAAAACAAACGTACAACAGTACGCACAGTAAAACTCAGTTTAAGAGAAGTCCGAGTCAAGTCTGCTTTTCAAGTTAACTTGATTGTGTTACTAGGACTGGTCAGAGCAGTCCTAAATCCTGTCACAGGTTAACTTTGACCAGTCAATATTACTGGTTAGCAAGATAACTTGTTGTACGGGTTAGGATTGCTCCAATCTGTATATCGATGTTCCTCAATATACTTGTGTGTCGACAACTCTGAATATTCCATCATTAAATTGTGTTGGCAAACTTTCCTTGTGTTTACTAATGTTACATTAAATATCACGCATTATTTTAGTTTGCAAGCTTTAAAAATGCACCAATAATATCAGTTTAAAGACAAATATATTTTATCTATTGAATACACGGAGATCGAATTTGGTAATCTTTGGTAAGTTCAGAATCGGTGTTTAAATGTCAATTGTTCTTACATAATCATGATAACTGATTTTCTTCTAGATATATAGAATTTAACAAGTTAGTAAGTTTACCAGAAGGAATGTTTTCTAACAACAAAAAACTTAAAACATTGTAAGTAGGATTTATGCTCATCTCAGACCTTTTCTTACATATATCATTTAAATTGTATATTTAATCACGTACACCACATATCTGCTGTTCTTAAATATACTTGTGTGCTGAGAACATAGTAGTGTTGTCATCATTATATTTTAATTTTGTTAGATAATGTTGAATGTAAAAGCAATACAAATTTCACCACCAATATCAGGTTGATGACAATTTCATTTGATCCATTGAATAGCTGAAGTTCAACCATTGAAATGTTTGGTAATTTGAATGTAAGTAGGTTGAATAAATATGTTCATGATGATTGATTTTCTATTAGATATTTACTTCAGTACAAGTTTACCAGAAGGTCAGTTAACATTGAACGCAAATCTTCAATATTTGTAAGTGCAATTGATATTTATATCAGACTAATAACTTATTAAATGTTGTGTGGAATTGTCTACCTTATTCATATGTATCCAGTGTTTTTGATATTCATAATCAAGATGACTGATTTTATCCAAAATTGTAGCAAACTAAGAAAGTTTACCAGATAGTCTGTTATCATCAAATACCAAGTTACAAGAATTATTATTGTGATTAATGCTGAACACAAACTTTATTTTATTAAAAATTGTTTTGTTTATATAACCACGTACATCTACCGATGTGTGCAGTCCTAACCTGTACAAAAGTTAACTTGGAGCAAACTTTTTGACTGCTTTCCAAGTCAACTTGAGAAATGATATGTCAGACTTAAACTTATTATACGATCATATTGGATTTGAAATCAGGTTCTGATATAAAAAGGTGTTTTAATATAAGTGTGTGACAATAGCTCAACAGGTTTATCGTCTAGTGTAATGTTATTGAATACAAGGAGATCACATTGGTAATGTTTGGTAAGTTCAGTAGTCGTGTTTTAATGTAACATGTTCTAACGTAATCATGATTATTGATTTTCTTTCAGAGATTTAGAGAATAACACGTTAGTCAGTTTACCAAAAGGTCTGTTTACATTCAACATAAACCTTAAATTTGTGTAAGTGTAATTTATTTTGATACCAGACTTAAACTTATTTAAGTGTTTTGAATGTTTAACCTCGTTCATAGGTACCCTATGTTCTTTAATATTCTTCTGTGCCAATAGTGTAAGGTTGCCAGGTAGTCTGTGATCATCGAACACTACTTTACAAGAATTATCACCCTTCTATTACACGTCTTTCTTACATGGTTATTAAACTTTTAATGTTATTCAATATTAAAACAATAATCTTAGAATTCCTATTGGTAATTTGAGTATTATTGTCTTGATTAAATATGTTTTTACATATTCAAGATGATTGATTTTATTTCAAAGTTGTAGCCAATTACAACTAAGTAAGTTTACCAGATAGTCTCTTATAATCGACACTATGTTGCAAGAATATTGATTATGTATAACGCTTATCACATACTTTATTTTATTGAAATATTGAAGATTGTTTTGTTTATATGATCACGTACTTATATAACTGATGTTCCTCAATATGCTCGCGTATAAACATCTTACCATCATTTCAATTTGTTTGCAAACTTTCTTTTTGTATACCAATATTACTTTAAATGTCGTTCAATATTTATAAGTTGCAGTTGAAAGCTTAACGAAATGCATCAACAATGTCAGTTTGAAAAAATATATATGTTATCTATTGAAAAAAAGGAGATCGAACTTGGTAATCTTTGGTAAGTTCAGTGTCAATGTATCAATGTCACATGTTCTAATATGATCATGATATTTGATTTTCTTCCAGATATATAGAATCTAACAACTTAGTAAGTTTACCAAAAGATCTATTTGTGTCGAACACGAATCTGTTATCATTGTAAGTATGAATTATGCTCGTCTCAGACTTTATTTAATATAATTTTAGATTAGACTAAATATTATATACTAGTATTTAATCATGTACAAACATATCTGATGTCCTTTAATATCCTTATGTGCCGAGTTTGAATTTTGAAGCAATTAATATTACATCCACAGTATTAGGTGGTTGACAAATATATTTGATCCATTAAATAACTGAAGATAGTCCTTTGCAATGTTTTGTAATTTAAATATCAGTAGGTTTATTAAGTTTGTTCATGATCATTGATTTTCTAATATATATTTACTGATTAACAAGTAAGAAATATGACCAGAAGGTCTGTTAACTTTGAACGCAAATCTTCAATACTTCTAAGTGCAATTGATATTTATAACAGACTTAAACTTATTTAATATTGTGTGGAATTGTTAACCTTGTTTACATGTACCCGGTATTTTTGATATACTTGTATAACAACAGCCCAGCAGGTTTATCACCATTCTATTGTGTATGAACAGTTTCATCTCACAGGCTTAATTAACTTTGATGTTATTCAATATTTCAAATTAAATCTGTAGCCAATAACAACTAAGAAAGTTTACCAGATAGTCTGTTATCATCAAACACCAAAATACAAGAATTCCAATTGTGATTAATGCTTATCACAGACTTTAATCAATATTAACTTGTTTTGTTTATATAGTCACGTACATATATAATTGATGTTCTTCGATATACGTAAGTGCCGACAACTTAATAGTTTTGCAATAAAAAATACATCAACATTATTAAGCATGTTCATGATCATTGATTTTATATAAAATATTTACCAAATAACAAGTGAGAAATTTACCAGAAGGTCTGTTCATTTTGAACACGGTGTAAATCTTTAATATGTGTTTCCCATTTCCATTCTCAATTTTATTGTGTAATTGAAAATCATTTATATCAGTCTTAGCCGTATTTAATATTGTAAGGATGTTTGAACCTCTTTAATATGTACCCTTTGCTCATTAATATACTTGTGTGCCAATAGTTTAGCATGTGTATCACCATTATATTGTCTATGAACATTTCCGTCGTACATGTTTATTGAACTTTTAATATTATTCAATATTTCAAAATTGATCCTAGAATTCCTGTTGGTTATTTGAATAGTATTGTCTTGATTTAACACGTTCTTATCCATTCGTTTGATGTGTTTGAACTTTTGATTTTGCAATTTGATTAGGGACATTCCGTTTTGAATTTTCCTCGGAGTTCAGTATTTTTGTGATTTTACTTTTTACATAGGAGTAAGTTTACCAGTAGGTATGTAGTCATCGAACCCAAAGCTTCGACATTTGTAAGTGTGATTGATTCTTATTTCAGCCTTTATCCTATAATAGATTGCATCATATTCCTATAACGATCATATATAGTTGATGTTCTTCTATACATGTAAGGGAACTTGTTGGCCAGGTAGTTTATGTAGTTTATTTACTGTATCACAAGCCTGTCAACACTGAACTAGTGATTTCAAACCACGCATGTGACAGGTGCATTTGACTCGAATATTGATTAATCTATACATACTCATTTTACTCCTAATCTCATTCTATATTGAAAGGCTAGTCTTTGAAATCTTGCGTAATTCAAGAACCATTGTCTTGATAGAATATAATCTTACAAAATCATGATAGTAATTGATTTTCTTCCAAGTCAGGAATATGGCAGTTGTTTTTCACTTGTTCAATTGATTGATAGCGTTTGATTTTGTCTGTATTCATGGAATTCCCTTAATGGATTTGCCTTGTAGTTTAGTATTTTTGTTTTACTTTTTTTAAACCTTTGGTAATGTGTGTATCAGTGTCCTAAGTTTATTTAAGACGTTAGCATGTTTATCTTATCATATGACAGGTCGTATTGGATATTTAATCATGCACATATGTAACTGATGTTCTTCAAAATATTCTTGTGTGCAAACACCTCAACAGGTTTACTATCATTTTTATTGTTTACGTACTATTAATTTCTACTTCTTTATTTAAATTTTAATGTCGTTCAATAATTCAATATTACTGTTCAAAGCAATATCAGTTTGAAAAAAAATATATTTATCTTTTAAATTCACGGAGAACGACATTTGGAATGTATGGTATATTAAGCATCAGTGTCCTATTTCAGATTTGCATTTATAATTATTGATGTTCTCATAGCACTGTACAGGGTAACTGCTTAATAAGTTTACCAGAAGTTCTGTTCTTGAAAACATAAATATAATTATAAGTTGTGTTGCAAGTATTGTTTTGTAGGACAGTTGTTTCTCTTGCGTAATAAAATGCTTTGCTTAATGTTTAACTTAAAGCTCTATCTATGTTGATTTGATGATTTTAACCTCTTGTTGCAAATATCTATAGAAACAGCATGATACTTTGGCGTTGTTTCATGTAATTCCATGCTGTTGCCGTATCTTGCATATTTTTCCCCTCAGGAATTTAAATTGTTTCGCAGTAATGTGAAAAACCAGACGTCACATGGTTATGTACATTAGATAGGAATTAATCTTATATTGAATTTAATATTTAAGGAATATGTACACAAACCCATTCATATGCTGCCTCATAATTGATTTTAAAGAATGGGCATCAAACCAAACACTGTATTATGAAGGAACATGTACTGATTCAAAAACCACCATAGATATTCACAATTTTAACGAGACAACCTGCATAATTCCAGGTAAGCAGATTAGAATATGTCTTAAAAATAATTGAGTTTACTAATGTTTTATCTAAATGCAATATATCTATTCCCAATTTGACCTATGTAGCAACTATCTGGAATAAAAATAAATATCTCAGACATGCTTCTATTTCTTTTTTTTTCTGATTTGTTGTGAAATTGCCTGAACATTTAACATTCGTGATACATACATCGTGTCCATTTTCTATTCCACACACACACACATATATATATATATATATATATATATATATAAACAAGTCTAAATTGAAAACAACGTTCAAACCTATGATTGTGTTGGATAAAAACCGCAATTTTTATACGTGTGCATGCAAAACAAATTTCGTAGTAGAGGGGTCTAAATACAGCACAAACAACAACTTCCAAAAGACCACAAAAAGTGAAAAAGTCTATTTTAGCATAACGCATATTTTTTCGTTTGGGCTTGTATTATATTTTCCTTCGGGTTTATATGATCCGTTCATCCTATTTCGACTCTTTAAAACTCAAGAGTCTTTCCTAAATTTAGGTAAATTATATGGCCTTCCAAATACCGTTTTGATCCCTAACATCACTGAAGAGACATAATTGTCGAAATCCGGATATGGTGTACAAATTTTTGCACCTCATGTTTGTGGTATACCATCTTTTCCACAAGTTTATTGTTTTCTGTTTGGTATTTAATTAATATTAAGATCCATTTTGTAAGATCTGGTGATCAATTTATTTGGCAATCGCCAATGGCAGTAAGCAGGGTTTAAGAACATCAGTTGTTCGACCTGCTAGTCAAATGCGTTTTGCTAAAATAGACTTTTTCACTTTTTTTGGTTTTTTGGAATATATATATATATATATATATATTATTAAGTCACATTCGTAATGATGAGAAAAACATTAAGACACTCAGTTGGAGTTTTAACTTGAGCCTCATCCTCTTTAACGACAATTGTAATTGATTAACTTAAATAACTTTTGACATACAATATTTAGCAGACACAATCTTAAACAACTGAATACACAGTTTGTTTTACTAAATAGTATACCTTATATGTTTTATACATATGAAAGATATGATTAGTTTTTAAACTTATAAGGTTTCATTTACACTACATGAAAGTATTATGGTTTTTTTTTTGTGTTTGACATAACAAAACTGGAAAATTACGATGTTTAAATCAAAGCATTCTTAAATGTACTCTATAACTAAACAAACAAAAAATGCAAATTTCAAAAGGAGCAATGATAAAAATTTGTCAGAAATCATTGTTTTTACTCAGGTAAATTAATCAATGAGTGAAGGATTTTTCTTAGAAGAAATATAAAGGTCCCAGTGAATAAATTACACAGAGAATAATAGCTATTGTATGTACTCAATAGCATAATAGGAGATTAATCTGTGGTAAAGTTTCATTGGGTTTGCAAAAATTATTTTGTTAAAATTACTCGTTATATTATATTTATCATATTCATATCAACATACTGTAATTGTACTTGTTTCCACGGTGTATTTATATTCACGAATTTTGCGGTTGGTATATTATCGTGGGAAAAAAATACACGCACATTTGAATTTAACCTTTCAACTTGAAACTTACTGTTCATCTCTGCATGTGAACTTGGACTTACATCGATGACAGGACATGTTTTCAATCCTGTTAATCCGTGAAAAAAAAACAAGTCCGTTACATACAGACTAAATTAATATCAGCAGTTGCCAAGTTGAACCCAATTAAAGATAAAAGAAACAATATTGATACAAGATTACATTAAACCATATGAAATTTCTATTTTATTTGTTATCGATTAATTTACAAATATGTGTGTATAGTAGATGACAATAGTTTTGAAAGCTTTACTGTAATCAAACATTATAGTTATATTTTTTTTTTAAACTTAAATCTGTTGAATCTTCAAATAAAGAATGACAAACGAATGAATTAAAATTCATATTAGTTCAGTCATACCGATAATCTTACTACTAACAGTTTACCCGACGGCTATTTACGCATTTCCTTTTAATGCAGTTCTTATTGACACACGAGACGATAATTATAACTTTTATTTTTTAATTTAATTTTTAGGAAAAAAACCGCGAAAATAAAAATCTGCGAACGTGTTTGAAATACACATTTCGCGAAAATAAGTACAATTACAATATAAAAAGAAAAAAGAAGATGTAAAAAATCAGTGTTCATTCTTACCTTTACATTATAGAATTAAAAACGAGAACGACGCGTTATATATTGCATGCATCTGAAGTGCTTTTCTGGATGTTTGGTACGATGGTTTGTTTCTTCTTTATATATTAATGAGAATTGAAAATCGGATAACTACTGCTGATCATAATTAAAAGGACAATTCCTGTAAATGCAAGTTATCCAAATTGGCTCAAATTGTCGTAATTGATTTATACCGTGCAAACATCTATATCCAACTTACAAAACTTTCTGTAATGTGACTGCAGGCTGTGATTACTTGAAAAGAAAAGGTGAAACAATGTAAGAAAGCTTAAAACCAATATCATTTACTAATTCGGCAACCACTAAATAAATCATAAACAAGTTAAAGTAAAACTATGAGTATGATGCATGCATAACTATTTAAATGAGGTCGGATTGAGGTTTCAGTTTATGAAAATTGAATTAAACTGACTGCTAATAGTGCAAAATATTTTTGCAAAAGTATAAGATTTATACCGTTTTGTTTTCATTTTTGAATGGAGGATGGAGCCCTTGGATCAACTCCTCATGTTCTGCAACTTGTGGAGATGGTGTCATAATCAAAACCAGAACATGTGACAATCCTCCACCGTCTGACGATGGACTGAAATGTGTTGGTTCCGAAATTGAAACATCACTTTGCAACTTAAGAAAATGTCGAGGTAAATTCTTTAGATATATCAGATTACAATCAACATTACCTTAGAAATCAATTGTTAACCGGAGCGGAACACTTCTCTTTAGAACTTATTAAAAAAACCTGTTCAATCTATCACTGTATTCTGTGAAATCAGAATAAAAAAATCATCAAAGATGTAAGGCTTTTTCGCCATAAGCGTGTTTCTTCAAAGTGAGACTCGTCTGTAGCGTTTGAATGAAATCAGTTTTGAGGCAAGAGCAAATAAATGTTAAAGGGCGTAACAATAAAATCAGTTTAGTACCAAATACGGTTAATGCAATAAAAAAACCTTAGTGTTTTCAATATTTCAATATTTCAAAAACAATAAACAGTCAGGGCAATTACTTAAATGAGTGATTTCTTAAATCACTTATTCAAGTAACATTTTCTCCAACTTAAATGCTGCAATTAAGAGTAGTCTTTCTTAAAAAATCACCTATTTAAAAAGTACAAATAAATCACTAGGCTAAGTGATTTTATTTTATTTTAGCTTTAAATATATAATATTAATGATCCTGGGACTAATTATGATGTTTAAGTTATCAGAAACAACATCTGTGTTAATATGATGACTGCTCATGTATAGTGATGGCCCTTTTTTTAATCTGAGATAATGACATGAACATCACTTGTTTATCTATTTTGAGTATTATTTTATTAAATGTAAATATTTAAAACGCTCGGCAAGCCTCGCGTTGTAAATTAAAAAAGAATTAACTGTCTCGAGTGGATAAATATCTGATCACACTCGATGCAGTCGTAGGATCTATATATAGCGAACAGTATCATTTAATAACATAATCTCAAAGCTGAAACCTTGAATTTTACAGGAAAAATGCTCCCACCTCTGGGAAAAATATGTTAGGAAAGTACTAGATCATTTTGTTAAGCCTTCATTGTAGCATTTTTCTCAACAAATTTAGAATATACAGATGAATGATTGCATCAAAGTCGTAAACCTTGCTACTTCAAAGAAGCAAAAGGTCAATTTTATTCAGTTTTACTTATACTTTAATAAAATCTAAACCTGTGCGTTTAAAATTTTGGTAAAATACAAAATCACAGAATTCTTAATTTGCTACTCAAATGAGTGATTTAAAAGCACTTATTTTAGTAATTTCATAGACTCATAAATTGACAGAAAATGAACAAATTATTTATATATCATGTCAACATGAAAGTGTTGATAACTGGCGTGACGTCATCGACCCAGTCGTAAACATCTTTATTTCAAAGCTAAAGCTGATTTTGGCTAAAGTAATACCTTAATACTGTTATTCTGAAACATATTTAATTAATCGATTTCAGCAACCTCAAAACAAAAATAGAAAAAAAAAGCTACAGTGTTTCAACATTCCGAATGTGGTTAAGTTGTTTAGAGATTTAATCAAACAAATCAAGGATATGCCATTACTTTCTAAATAAGAAAACAAGTTTAACATGACATAAAGCAATTACTGATAGTCAAGATGCGTCTATACAAGTTTCACCGTGTTTAGCAAAACCTTGAGTCAATGGGGTTGTAAATTGTTCATATCTTTTTACAGCATCATGCCGTCGTTCAAAGAAAAGATCAGTAGACCATTTGGACAATAAATCAGGTAAATTTCCACCATAATTGTTTCATTCATTTTGACAAACATAAGTTATGGTCGACATTAATACAATTTTAGCACTTGCTACGGTTACCCGCAAAACGTAACAATAAGAAATAATAATTGTTATTTTCAAGACTAATTACCGAGATGTATTTCCAAGAGGGACCCTATTTCATACGGAAATTGCATGTAACAATAACATAGTTTGTTATTGTCAATAGATAAATATATTCAGGTAGGCACTGTTCTAAAAAAAATGTTTGATTTGCAAGCAATCTATGAAACAAATTTAAACAATTAAATTAAGATGTAATATAAACATGATTAAACTTCAAGATAAATTGACCAATATGACGTTCATTTTTGCCATGGAGTGGTCGTATAAAGAAGTTCACTATTCATGACAATGGATTCGAATCAGCAAAATGTTCAATGTGTGGTCAGTGAAAAGTTTGTTTTTCTTCAAAATTTTAATGATAAACTTCATCAAATCCAAAATTCAAATTCTGTTTAACAATATAGAAGACGTTCTGATCATAACCCCAGAGGAACAATTTCTTTCATTAGTGAAATTGCCTACGGAATTGATCGACAAGAACATTAATATCAATGAATCAAAGAATACTTTTCCAATGACTCATGGAAAATGCAAACACAAACAGATATCGCAGAAGAAGAACACAGCAGAGTGGAACTGCTAAGTGTGTGGTATTGAATTCCATATATATGAATATATTGTTTGCAACAGGTATCTGAAGTGGTACCACCTAAAATGTGTTGGCCTCACAGTGTCAACTTAGGTATATACTGGATGTGCCAGAAGTACCACCAAAATAAATAGCTATAATACTTCTTATTATAAGTGTTTAATTCATCATTGCTATGTTCATTGAATAATGTCTATTCATAGAATTTTTGTTTCAAATATGTAAACCGAAGAATACGGGAAATGACACGAATACAGCTCAAATATCCAGATTATACACACTAAAAAGACATAACTTGCAAATGTAAAATTTTGCCAGTAATTATAACTGCCGATAACAATAACAAAATTTATTGTTATCTGCAATTTCCGTATGCAATTGGATTCCTCTCCAGAAATACATTTCGGGAATTAGTCTCAGAAGTAACAATAATTATTTTGTTTTTGTTACTTTTTGCGTGTGACCGTAAAAAAAAAAAAAATAAATAAGTTTTATTTAGAGTCGGCATAGTATACAAACAAAGACATAACATAAGCTCTAATGAGTTTTTAATCGACAAAAGATAGTGCCTACAATTCTTGTCTCGCCTATGATGAAAGTCGAGGAAAGCGAGATATAGAGATTGCTTTTCTGGCGACTGCAACGATGGTGTCAACAATTGTTAAGTTTTCTGCCTAAGTTAGTTTATTACGTACTACTTGCGATAGAATATTGATATATAGTACAAAGTTGCATTACTAGCAGTATATATCAGTTTGACAACCATTGTGAGGCTCTGCCCCCTAGGTCAAGGTTCAGCGACTTTGAAGTGACTAACCATTGTAAATGTTAACTTTTCGAATTGGTTTGTTTAAAAGAATCTATTTGTGATAGATCAATGATATTTAATATAAAGTTGCATTACTATAAGTACATATCAGTTAGACGACTATTTTGAGGCCCTGGCTTCTAGGTCATGATTCAGCGACTTTGAATTATTTAGCAATTTTCAATGTTAAGTTTTCTACTGAAGTTAGATTGATAAGAACTGCTTACAATATACAATGATATTGTCGATATAGTTACATTACTGTCTGTACATTTCAGTGTTTCAATCAATTATAGGCCCTGTCCACAAGCTTTCAAGTGACTTTGAAATAATATGCAATGTTGCTGTCCATCAGATTGTCTTTTTTCTGACGTTGATGCCTACAGGCGATACACATATCGCTGTGTCAACAGTTTATTATTGTGCCTTTGCAGTTAATATTATTTAATTTAGAATTTATTACGAAATTGTTATATCACCCACCATGTGAATCCATACTTAGTCGAAATAGCACAAATGCAAGACAGTGTGCAGTTGCTTTATAAGAAACAAACAAGCTTATTGCATTATACAACTCACTAGATTCGTACTATATGGCACATCTGAAAGCATTTTGAAGTTCATCATGCCTTACAACGAGTGACTGTAATATCACAAATAAAATAAGAGTACAATACAGTATAATGTTATAAATCACAATAATTTATTCTGTCTTCCAGGATCAAACAGCCTAAATTGAAAGCTATGAACCAAACAAAAGAGACAAATTTGATTGAAAAAAATGGAAACAAAGTGGATCGATTTCATTCTTATATAAAACTGAGGGACAATTTTAACATGGTTTAAATTTTATGATCATCATTGTGGGAAAATTCATTCTTTGCTTTCGTTTGAAAATCTAACTTTCGATATCTTAGATACCATCTGTGTGGTTAACCTTCTCACGAGTGCGAACGTACTAATTCTTACTTGTATAATGTAATCTTGAATTCAGTTATTAGGTTAGATGACTTTTAATTGGACCTATCAAAGCATTTCATCTGTGATATGTATGACAATAAATTTGTAAAGAGTGAGAATAAACGTTTTTTTCATATCGTTTGATGATATTTTGTGGGATATACATTAGTTACATGTTACATTTTTTTGGTGATTTTTTGTGGGAATATTCATTGGTATTATCAACTTGTATTTAAATCATTAATATATGTGATTTGTTTCTTAATAAAATCCGGGTATAAATTTAATAGTACATGTTTTCATTGTGTTGCCATATACATATCAAATGAACAATATTTTTAATACCGTATACATATAGTTCACAACTAGGAGGTTAACTTATTTTTAATTATCAGTAACTTCAAGTAACTGATGGGTGTAGTTGAGGGTAAAATGAGACCAAAGCGAACCAAAACTAGACACTTCATGTGCATTCAGAGGGGAAATCAAATGCATAGTAATATTTCTTTTTTCTAAACTGTTTTTTTTTCTTAATATTTATAATTGTTGTCTATTTGATCATGTTAATCATTTCTTATCAACGTGATCATTGATATTTACAATACACACTGGTCATGAATAACATACACCTGAGACTACTACAATGTAAACCTGTATGCCTCATTGTAGTTTCAGCCTATACGAGGAGTATGGCACGTATCAATAAAAATCCACATAGCTTTATAAATCTTACAACAAAACTTTAATTTTTTTTTGCGCCAGTCCCAAGTCAGGAGCGTCTGGCCTTTGTAAGTCTTGTATGTTTTTAAATTTTAGTTCATTTATATGTTTTGGAGTTTAGGGTGACGTCCATTTTTACTGAACTAGTACACAATTTTATGTAGGGGCCAACTGAGGACCACCTCTGGGTGCGGGATTTTCTCGCTGCGTTGAACACCCATTGGTGGCCTTCGGATGTTGTGTGCTCTTTGGTCGGATTGTTGACTCTTTGACATATTCCCAAAATTCCATTCTCAATTTTATTCAAAGATAACAAATAACATTTTCTTTTGAAAAGTGAACATTGATTTTGAATTTCAATTAAACTATATGTCCTGATTTTATTTTTCTTTCATGTTCGGAGTTCCCCTTTTTTATGACAACCCCACAGTTGCAACATCATCATATTTATATCTTATATAAGATTAAGATACATTTAAAAAAAAATATTTCAATGTCATTGCCATTATTCAAGCATCATTACACACAGGTTTGTCTAAAAGAATAGCAAATTTGAAAAAAAGTTACAAATAGTCACACCTGTTTTAAACTGATGTCCAATCAACTGGCGTCAGAATCATAAATTTGACAAATCAAACACGGAAACAGAGATTTTGTTGCGTATTTAATATTTATTTATGTTCACCTATCTAGTGCAGAACAAACCCACCAAATTCAATGATATAAACAAACTAGAACAATTTTTGATTATACAATTATAGCCTTTCGATGAGGTCGATACGAGGTTATATCGACCTAAGAGAAGTATATTGACTGAGGACGATATGCTTCTGTAGGTCGATTTAAAATCGTTTTGATCTCAACCAAAGGCTAGAATTGTAACATTATTAATCAACAACTATTGCATGAACAATGTAAAATTGGGGATTCTGCTGTAATATGCTGTATGCCCTGTGCACTATGCTGATTTTGACCTACGAAAAGCTAAACACAACAGTATTGTTGTCCAAACGGAGTCATTACAAATGTACATATGATCAAGTTTTAACGAATCACAAATCCTTAAAAATATTGGATTGATAATATAGTGCTATATACGTACTAAAAACCACAAGCAATAATTGCAAACGAAATAGTCCTTGCACATGTATGCAATCGCAAAAAAAAAATAATTTAAGTCTTTGATCTATTTTCAAAAGACGATATGCTCTTTCAAACTGTGAATTATCAAAAGACAACACGAAGACAGCCCTAGGGTAAAATACAAGTGTATATACAACCATCCAGGGAAATACGTTTTTCATATAGTATTCAATCTTTAATTGTACATGCACATCTGGATTCATTTTAGATGTTTACACGAGAGATCATAAAACAACAAATGCTACTTTCAAAGGTGTTTGCAAAAATGGAACTTAAAGGGATTTCTTTTGTAGACAAGAAACAAATTGAATTAGGTAATTTGATTAAATGAATACAATAAAGTTTTAAAACAGTGGCGAAAAAAGCACAAATCGAGTTACGTAGATGAAAAATAATAATTGTCTCAATAATAATTATAATGTCAATTTCATAAATTAAAGGCTTGTGAGTAGAAAACGACATAGTCTTAGTTGTCAGCACTTTTAGTGTTGACATGAATTATCATTGATATGGTCATAATTATAAATTAACCGTATACAAAACTTTGAATTTCTGAAAAACTAAGGCTTTTTTACCTCAGGAATAGATCACCATAGCTGTAATTGGCAAAACTTTTAGGAATTTTTGGTCCTCAATGCTCTTCAACTTCGTACTTTATTTGGCGTTTTTAACTTTTTTTTATTCGAGCATCACTGATGAGTCTTTTGTAGACGAAACGCGCGTCTGGCGCAAACACATAATTTCAATCCTGGTATCTATGATGAGTTTATTCCATTGAAACAATAGAATGGTCAGGCTGATTAAAATGTGTATATAGAAATTTGTTGTTATTATGATCATTAACATTAGACCGATGGTCATTCATTCTAAAATTGAGTCTTTGTCGAGTTTCCCGACTACAATAGACTCATCCGGATTATAGAGAAAATATATTATTTAACAAATGACCCTATATTGAGCACACCATATCGTCTACAAAGAGAAGACTTTTGGATTAAAGAGTTGGGAACAGCCATTCCCTATGGATGCACTGACAACATTGATGGTGAAGGTATATTGTCTAGTCCCAGGTGTAGTACTGTAGAATTACAATTCGTTAATACTTCTGCTCGACGAAATAGAAGTCATGGTCACAATAAGTATACACCACCTACTGTTCACACTGTGACACTTGATAGTCTGATATCGTCTTTTCCAAAGCCTATATGAATTCACCATATCAGAACTAAACTATACTCTATTCCATTATTTAAACTGTATTTACTTTTTCAAGAGGCCCACACTACTTCCGTTATTGATTCTTATTCTGTGTTCTATAGATTAGTTGCAATAATCATGAACATTGCTAACCATAGACTATTTAAACCCGTATCGTCTACTTCCAAAGATGAGGAAAAAATTAATTTTAAAGTAGAATTCGCCAACATAGGTTTAAATGCTATTAATATTAATTTAGCAATATTTTTTTAAAATAGGGTTTTAGAGGCTTTTAACCTTATAAATGTGAAATCCAACTTCTGGATTGTTCATGTGCATCGTTAAAATACAATTATAGTCAAGCTGGTCATGCTATTACTGGCGACTTTGGCATCGTTGCCAATGAACAACTAAGAGAGTTGTTAGCCAAGGGACCAAACTATAGAATTCCCCAGCCCATCAACAAAAAAACTCCAGATTACTGATGAATGCAGTTGAGGACTATGATGGAAAATGGGTAAAGCGCGAACCAGACAAATCAGAACTGGACACTTTGTCTGAAGAGATCAAAGCTATTCGAACATGCATTCAGAAACGCATTCAGAAATAACGATGTACTATGAGCACAAGGGTTTCTAGCCTTTTCAAGAATTCGGAGGTTGTGGATGCTTTAACCTCTACATGCTCTATGCATGACAAATATTTTTATTTGTTCCAGCAGATAAAGCCTTCGACTAAACATCTTTCTAAAGTGTTGACTACTATTTTTTCTACACTAAAAGATGGTTTTCAGAAATATTGTGATGAGATATATTCAACCAGTGGTGTCAATCAGATGTGGATTTTCAAAAATTCTAAAGATCTACTACTAAATATGTGATCACAATCTCTGCAACATTAAAGCCTTTGATTTTTCTACACTTTACACTACTATTCTTCATGCTCAATTGAAAGATTGACTTCACCATCTCATTAAACCGATCTTTTCTATAAAAATGGGAATTGTAGATATACATTTCTTGCTTTGATTTATAATAATTCTTATTTTGTGAAGAACCATACTGATTCTATCAGAAAATACAGTGAAGATGATATTATCAAAATGCTGGACTTTTTAATCGAAAATATATCTGTTGAGTTTGGAAGATTGATATTTCAACAGACAGTCGATATTCCAATTGGTACTAATTGTGCACCCCTTCTGGCCGACTTGTTTTTGTACTCATATGAAACATAATTCATTCAAAACCTTCTAAAAGACAAAAAGAAAAAGCACCTTGCAAAACTCTTTAATTTTACTTTCAGATATATTGATGATGTTCTATCACTGAATAACCCATATTTAAGTCAGTACTTGGATTTCATATATCCCAGTGAACTTGAAATTAGGGATACTACTGATACAAGAAGGACTGCTTCACACTTTGATCTTTTCCTCAATATTGGACGACTTCACACTAAAATTTATGACAAACAGGATGATTTCAACAACCAAATTATCAATTTTCTATTTCTCAGCAGTAACATACCCTATGCTCCGTCGTAGGTGTTACCATATCTCAATTGATACCTTATTTATTTTTGATGTTTCTGTTATGATTTCAATTGTATAATGTGTTATGTCTTACCGGTTGTAGTCCAAATAATTATAGATTAGCCTTCCAATACCGTCATTGTCATGAAAACTGTTTGGACTGAGAAGGTAAATTGTATGAAGTTCCAGATTGCATATTCGTTACGTAAGTGTGTCACTGTTTGTGATATCCTGTTCTTGTCTATTGTTGATGGACGATGTTCGTTGTTGTTCTGCGGTTTTCATGTTGTGTCGACTTTTATATTATTTGTGTGTGCGTTTCTCTATGATGAGTGTTTGTGCTGTATTTCTGTCACGTAGTGTTGTCATTTTAGCGATATTTTTTAACATTTCCATATACGCGGGAGGTTTGGCTAGCCGTGAAACCATGTTCAACATGCCATTTTTTCTTAAAATGTCTTGTACCAAGGAGGGATACATATGTATTATTCATATTTTTGACGACAATTTATAGATCTTCAAATGCTTTTTTTATTATTGTTTTAAAACGTCAATGAAAAAAACAGAGTGATACGACATTATTGTCATTAAAATAGATATCTATCAGAGATCAAATTACAAGAATATGAATAACACATTCTATGGGAGAATACTAGTACTAGACATAATACATT